GACAGATGTACGGCATGATCAGAAATCTACAGGAGTGTAACAATTACGAAATCTCAGAAGAAAGATTTCAGACAAGAACAGGCCATTCAGCCCATCTGGCCCGTTTGATAAATAATCCATGGAGTCCATAAAGTAATTTCTTGAAAGGGTTTTGGTTTCAACAACATGCCTGAGTACCTTTATCAGACTCCATAACTCTTTGCATAAAGACGTTCCTCCTGTTCTCTGGAGGTGGCTGAAGGCAGCTGCTCATTCCCCACAGCTGTCAGGGTGATGGGGTCCTGTCATCTTGTCTGAACCTGCTGTGCCATCACAATATGCTTTGACACTCAGTTTTGTTTTTTTCCTGATCAAAAGAAGAGAAAACCGAACACTACCAGCATTTATCATCCATTCTCTGGCACCGGAGACCAAGCCTCAGCAGTGCAACAAAGACTCAACAGTAAGCTTCAGAAGCAGGTATGGTGGTTCTCGTCTTTCTATCAGAGTTTCATTATATCAGAATTAATGCTATTCTGTCTCAACCAAACTAAATTCTAAAGAGAAATAAAATAGGTAATAGTCACAGGAGTGAAGGAGTTCCAGATTTCTAGTCTGACTCTACAAATGTTGTTCCCATCTGTCAAATTTCCCAGACCGGTTTTGGTGGGTGATTTTCAGGTGGCATGTGACGGGCAACACAGCCCTGCACCAGAGGTGCAGTGCCAGTCAGAGGACAAATGTGTTAATCTCTTAGAGCAATACAAGCCTGCAAGCACTCGGGAGGCTGCAGGTGCCAGCATTTTACAGATTTTTGTTCATTTACTAATCTTTTTTTACTAATTTTGGTACTAACCTAGCTGTTCAGTACCATGAGGGACAGCTTCCTTAGTCCTCTGTCCGTTCTTGTATTTATCTCCCACCTTGCTCACCGCTAGTAGCATCACCACTACACAGCAAATGTAGCTATGATGCCTGAAGCTTTGAAACAGATCCCAAAAGAGTGGTATTGCTGTGACAGAGCTGTTTTTTAATAAAAAAACAGCTGTGTTGTAGGGTTGTAAACTGAATTAGGGGAGAATCTTCTGCGGACTTGGAGAGCCACACATGCCTGGCACAATTTTGCTGAAGTTCTGGAACCTCCTCTTTGTTCTTTGCAGAATGAAAACCTCCCCGCTGACACTCAGAACCGTAAGAGGAGGGCAATCCAGCCCCTGACAAAGAAGCCCCCCAGGCCATGTCCTGGCTGCTTTGCTGTCATAGGTGATGCTAATAGGAACCTGGATCAGCAGGGCTAGTAATTGTAAGTACCAATTCTCAAAGCCATCAGAAGTCACACAGCTCAGTGCCTAGGGATTTACCTGGTCTATGAGACCGATGGATGGTCAGAGGTGCCTGAGTGGTAAGATAGGCTCTGTGTAGGCTAGAACAGTAAAGAGGTCACAAATGAAGTGGGTGTTGTCGTGTTGTCGTAAGACCTGTGCTCCAAGTGCTGTTTGTTCAGCAACCTGGATATGGAAATTGTAAAAAAAAATGGTGTTTGGTAACAGGCCAGACACCTGTACTTCTTACAGTATGCTCAGGAATATCTCCTCTTCCTACCTGGAGATAGAGGGAAAGGAACTGAACTATTCTCAATTGTGGGCAAATGAGGAAGGCTTATAGTGTTGTAGAGTGATTGTTATCACATGATATTGTTGTTATATAAAAAATGTAGAAAAAAGATTTTATCAAATGCCAAAGAGTTAAACAATCATTCACAACATTTGACAGATTGTAGGTGAGTATGATTTAGAAGTTTCTGCTGTGTACAGTATATGCAGTGTGTATACTTTGCTAATGTACTTTTTGAAGTTGGCCTGGCATCCTCAGGGTGTATAGAGAGCCTAAGCATGGATCTTTCAGATTAGATAAAAAATATGATTTCCATGTTATTTTGCACATTTCAAGATTTCTGTTTTAATGGTATATTTTACAGTTGCAAATATCTGCTCCATGAATAAAAGGCTCCTTGGCCAGGCCGGGCAGTGGGATGGGGTCCATTGTAAAATAGGGCACAGAATGAGCTCACAAAGCATTCTGACTGAACCTCAGACTACTGTGCTACACTAATGTACTTCCCCACCCTACATTCCCACTTGGAGAAATGCTTTACAGGTGATTTTGTTGTATTTAACTGCTGTTCTGATAAACAATGTAAATAAAAGCAACAGCTGTGAATTGTGTAGAATGCAACTGTGAAGTACAATAGGAATTAATGATAAAATGCTAATTTAGCTTTCATGAGGAGACTGTTAAATTGTTACTGAAGGATCACAGACCATGTGCCTGTCACCAGTGGCTGTACAAAGCAGTGGTAATGTTTTGGGTCTTTTAAAGAAATTTAAAGAGTTTTAAAGAAACTTCTTTGTCTTTTCCCTAGCCTTCTTTCCTGCTCCTGTGATGGAAAGTGTATGGCTACCAACACCCAGTCAATCACATCAGATGGAGAAGCATGACAAAAAATATGCAAAGAATATAAACGCCAACTAAATAGCAACATGCACTTACAAATTTATATATAGCTATGCAAAATCCTTAGGCTACTAGAAGGCACTGATAGCATAAATAACTTTAAAGTCTTTGAAACACATAGAGCAATTTTAGGCAGTGTAGTGCTAGTATGGAACAAGATACTAAGCCATGTTAGAGAAGCTGACACCTTGTGTTCTTCTAAGAAATGGCTGGAGGAGACCCTTGGATCAATTAGATAATAACTACCCAATGGGCTCCTCATGTGTGTAAAGTGTCTTGTGTCATTATTTTGAACCAATCTGAACTACCCAGCATAAATATTACAGTATAATTCTGAAATAGAAAATACTTATAAAAGAAAGTGACTTCTAAGAAATAACAGGGAATCGTTTTTGGAGAGATCACTTATTGTTTAAAATCATTTTTAGATCTGGCCTAGGTTCAGGCCTAGGTGGATGATAGCTGCAGTATGAATGTTGCAACCTACAGTATGGGAGTTAAAGTCACCTGGAGTCTGGTTTTAATTATTCTTTTGCCCCAGTCTTACAGTCTGTAGATTCTCATTAAAATCCACTTTAATATGTGTAACAGTTCATACAGTATAATCCCAAAAAGCTTACTCACTTACTGTAACATTCAAGATTTGTTTAAGTATTTGTGGTATCAGTACTTTCAAACATAAAGTACATGTAAATGAGGATACTGCTTTGCATGACTACCTTCTATGTTTTTGCTCATGTAAACTTTGCAAATGTTTGTACCATAAATAAAATCTAAGTTTGTTGAAACCTGTAGTCATGTACTTTTCTTTTAGGAACATATTTACATGAAATTGCATATAACAGATTTTATCTGTAACTGGAACATTCCCCAGAAGTAGAGCTTTTCTTCATTTTTGCTTCCTCAAATGTTATTTGCTAGTATTGTAATATCGTGTCAAGATATGGAAGTGTTCTAATTCAAATGTTCACTTGTTTGAATCTATTACATTAATCCTTAGATTCAATCTCCTGTTAACGTCACTTGCGCATCATAAATAAAAGGAGCCAGTTTTGGAAGCAACCATGCCTGCCATTGCCTCACATCGGATGTGGTGTTGCTCTTTGGAGTATATGTAGTTCATTTCTTTCTTCAGACTTGAAGCTTTCCATTGCTTATGTAAAGGTTTATTTCAGTCATACAATACAGAATGATCCCATAGAACTTAATTGCAACTTGAGGTGTCCAGCCTTCACCTTCATCTTCTATCTCCTTTGTATTATTTTTGTTTCAAAGTATTGAGAATGACATATATATATACATACTTTCTGACGTATGAGAAATAAATAAATTTCAATATTAAGGATTCTTACATTTAATTATCTTTAATCAATGCCACAGTTTATATTGCATGATTAATTTATATTCAGTTATTATATAACAAACATATTTTCCCCCTCAACAATTTAACTAACAATCATTCAGTCAGTAAATGTATCACGTATAAATGCTGTGTACTCTAAACTGCTGTAAAATAAGGCAAATAATGACATTATTTCATTTAATTAGAAAAAGACAATCAAATGAATCCAGCATTCTTAATACAGAATGCTTCATATTTATATAGTTACATTGAAAGTCAAAATTACTGTTAATGCTGTAGGTAAGTGGTTGTTGAATCTATCGTGTGATGGTATCAGACAGAGACTTGGGTTCGACAGTGAAGCAGCAGCAGGAGCTTTGCTCTGGTAGTACTGTGCTGATTGGGAGTTGTGACTACATTACAGTATCACTGCTGAAAGATGAACAATCTTTATGTTGATACTCGGGGTGCTTCTTGAAGAGCGGAAAATACTCCATTAAAATATGATACGATAGGCCTCGTATGATGCTGAAGTCTTGCACATGCCTCATCTATATGACCTCGACGACTCTAAAAAACAGAAGTCATTAAATCATCTGTCTACAAGTACAATGAACACTACTACTACTATTAATTATGATATTTTTACTAAAAAAAATAATAGCCAACTTTATTCATGTGGTCACTTAGTTCTCAGCACTGTATTTTATCCATTATACTTGTTGGTGATCAAAATTCACTTGATTTCTTACCTTTTGCATGGAGCTTAAACGGGCGCAATCAATGTACTTCTGGGCCTCATCAAAGCTGTCATCATGGAGGACTGAAAAGCATCCCTTACATATCCTCACATTCTTAAAACACAAATATGAATCACTGAATCACACATGGCCAACTGCTGCAACAGCAATAAATAACCTGGAAGTCCTTTGATTGTTTAGTACAGTAAAACTGAGACACTGGGTTTAGAGACTCATTGGGAGTCCAACGGTCATTTATATATACTCATGTCACTCACGTGCAGTAAAAAAGGACAGAGGAGATCTTTAGGTGGCTGCACATACATGGGAAAGTAATATTCCACAGGAGAAGAAGGAAAGGAGTGTGTCTGTAGTTATGTGTGCATATGGAGATGGGTGTTGACTGGCAGGAGCCAGATTCTGAATAAAGCAGCACTACTATCTTACAAAACTGAATGTGCTGAAGTGTGTCAGACAAAATATTGAACTGAGGTCAATATAAATGATGTATATTTATCTTATATAGTTTATATATGATATGAACAAAAGCAATGAAAATGTTAATGAATTTCATATTGCCTCCAAATGTATTGGAAGATTTTTTGCATCTCATGGAAAAAGAGCCATCGTTTCTTTGTTAGTCCTGGGCTGGAGCACCTTCCATTTGGATTAAATTATGGTTTCTGCATTTTGTTGTACAGTAAGTGATTCAGGTGGCTGTTCTGCAAGCAGCAGCATCTATGAAATGTGCAGTATGACTGTGAACTGTTGATGCTGGATAAACTGGGTTTAACCGCTGGGCTCAGCTGTGAAGGTTGTGTTACTCACCCCAGTAGGCTGGATGTTACACTGCTGTGTTAATGGGGCTGTATGAGGACAGTCCGTTTCCTTCACATGGAACTCAAATGTATGGAGGGTCCCAGAGGATTCGCTCTTAAACAAAAGGAAGAAGTTTATTAGAACTGAATCAGTAAATATTTTATATATGATCTTGTCAGATCTCAGAATTCAAGGTTTGACTTGAATGGGGGGTCTTCAATGACAGTCAGGCTACTGTGGTAAATGGCAGGCACTCTTCCTGCTGGACCAAGTGCCAAACCAATGTCCAATGTGACATGGGACTATGTGTTGTAGGAGGTTCTGTTCTCCGTTTAAGAGCTTAAACTGCAGTCTTGATTAATTTTGAGATTCTGGTTACAATACTTTCTGTGTTTCTACAAACAGACAAGCTTGTACGTTGTAAATGACATACCTAAATGCAATTTTAAATGGAAGTTCTTTACTGAAGTCCAGGAGGGTTAACAACAAACAAACGCACTCGGCTGTTTTAAATCACAATTGTTACCAATTTAAACTAAGTAGCTTGCAAACACCTCTTCTCACATTTATCCCACCTCCACCCCCATCTCCAGCTCTGCAGCTGCCCCTTGGTTAACACCTCTCTCTGAATGGGGTTCTCTTGTCCAATGGCCAGAAGACTACCTCTTAACCAAGCAGGTGAAGACACAACTTAAAATGAATATAAAAATGTATACTTAATAAACATTTGCAAAGCATCTGATTATTGGATGTCATTGTTTCACAGGAAAGTAAATTATATTACACATAAGTAACACATGTGTTTATCACTTGTTTTGTACTTCGCTTGAAGTAAAGGCCTTTTCACCATCCCCTTTGACCTTTATGATCAAAAACTCACCTTGTCATTAGCACAGTTTGATGAAAATGGGAAAGACAGCAATACCCTGTATGCGGATTATAGTCTCTTACAGCCTCTTGGGGAACTAGAGATGGAGCTCTGCCAGTTGTCAGATGAAAAACCTATCACCTACACGACAAAGGTTTGCTTGGGAGCCACAAACGTTTCCGAGATTTAGGACATGTTTGCATGTATAATCGTCATCGATAACATCCATAGCTGTTGCCAAGCTGACACCAAGATGCCCCAATCTGCCCCACTGCTCTGGTATTATGTCAAGAACCTACATGCAGTGAAAAGTCAGCAAGTGGAGTTCTGTCACATGGTGCTGGTTGAAATTGGGGCTAATCTTCTCCTGTAGGTTTTGTCTGTAGCCCATAAGGAAAAATTCTGTGCTCTTCTGACCAAAAACAAGGAAAACGAGGTCCAACTCCACAGCCTATGTATCTTGTCCAAAGATGTGTCCTCATCAGATTACTAGAGTAGAGACCAGCCTATCCCATGACTTCCAAACTGATCTTGGCAAGATACTGTACAGTATATAGTCCTTTTTGCACTTGGCCTCCCCTAGCCTCAGGAGGACTATATGTCAGTGATGACAAGGGGTGCACTTGCCTCATTGCCTTTTTAATAACTGTATCAGCTACATTATTTGTGCTTTCAAGACCTCCCACTGTACTGGTGGAATCGATGGTGAGTGCTAGCTTTCATTGTGCTAGAGTAGATACTGTATACCCAGTGGGTGATGATGAATGCAATGGCGAAGAGTTCCACTGGGGAGAGACCAAGATAGATGACCAAGATGGTCAAAGATTCCAGATAGCTTAGAAGTGTATCATTTCCAGACATACTCTCAAAAGACCACACAAGTCAGATAAGACTCCACTGCATTGTCTGCAGGATTTCCTCAGTCACAGTTAACCCCCCAGCCCTCCACAGGCCATTTCTGCCTAGAATAGATGTGTCATTAAGAATCTTGCATTATCTTATGGCCAGCAGCCATATCACCCTGCAACTCACAACTGGCAACCCACTGAAGCTAAGCAGGTGTGAGCCTGGTCAGTACTTGGATGGAGACCTCCTGGGAAAAACTAAGGTTGCTGCTGGAAGAGGTGTTAGTGGGGCCAGCAGGGGGCGCTAACCCTGCGGTCTGTTTGGGTCCTAATGCCCCAGTATAGTGACGGGGACACTATACTGTAAACAGGCGCTGTCCTTCATATGAGATGTAAAACTGAGGTCCTGACTCTCTGTGATCATTAAAAATCGCAGGGCGTTTCTCGAAAAGAGTAGGGGTGTAACCCTTGTCTCCTGGCCAAATTTCCCATTGGTCCTTACCAATCATGGCCTCCTAATAATCCCCCTCTATGAATTGGCTACAGTACTCTGCTCTCCTCCCCACTGATAATGATGTGTGGTGAGCGTTCTGGCGCACTATGGCTGCTGTCGCATCATCCAGGTGGATGCTGCACATTGGTGGTGGTGGAGGGGAGTCCCCATTACCTGTAAAGCACTTTAAGTGGAGTGTCCAGAAAAGCGCTATATAAGTGTAAGCAATTATTATTATCTTGAAAAGTATACAGCAGACTTTTATGTCTTACTCAGGACGCACACTAAAAAGAAAAATCCAAAATGAAATAAAAAGATAGAACAACAAATGCTTTTCCTTTTTTCAAGAGTTAATTTTTCACGTTGTAACACATTAAAAGACCCAGATTCTTCTCCAGTGCGTCTCCAGTATGTCTACTACTTTGGGTAAAGATTTGAAATTGAGGGAGCAAAGACATACATTGTTTTATAAATCCAGGTCCTGACAAGGTTTTCTTGCATAAAAAATATGAAAAGAAGAATTAAATTTCCACAATTATTAGCTGTTAGCTACAGACAACGACACTGAAACTGTTTACACAGATAATAGATTGTATACTAAATTTCTCTAGGCTCCGACTGACTGATAACAGTTTATTTGATCTCCACTTGATTGACAGACAGCCAAAAACGCCTTCTTTAAATTTGCTTTTTAAATAACATTTTCAGTAAATACTGTAAGTAAAAAACACAGTAACTGTTATGTTGACAAAATTATGTATATTGCACCAACAGGCTGACGATCTTATAAGTAAATATTGTGTTGCCAGATTGGGATTTGAAATACAGTTTTGAAGTAGAGCTTATCTTGTTTCTTATGAAATATAGTTTGCTGTGTTGTGTTTTCATTTGGCTGCTAAATTTTAATGAAAGAGACTGGTAAGGCAGCATATTTTTGCATTCCTGTGGCCAGGCTGTCTCAGTTTTATGTTTGTTTTTGTAAATATTAATTTCACTTGTGTGAAAACAGATTCAGTAGCTGGAATTAGATGATTAGATGATATGGGATGATATTGGCACATGCAATTCTTTGTACACCAATAACAAAATACATTGTTTATGATTGATGTAAAGCTTAACTTTCCAGCACTGTCCTGGCATTGTCCCATGGGTGTCCATGCATGGGTGTCATGTCAATCTTGTAGTAGCAGCATGTCAAAGTCACCCACACAAAAGTCACACAGCAGTGGTGATGCAGTGTGCAGGTGGTCATTCTTCTGGATTATGTGCTGATGTACTAGGACACACAATTGTCACCAGTAACATTACCAAAGGTGACACCAAAGGTGCTAAAGGGACAGAAATCACTGAGACACAAACTACTATACTCACCTAGATAATTATAGCTACTAATAAATAGCTACTAATTATAGCTCTCTCGGTTGGAAAAAATGAAAATCCGCATGTAATGACACAGTTTGTACCTGAGTTAAGTGTCCCAGGGCCTGGAGAAGAACCCCAATGCAGGCAGACTAGCAAGATAGCGAGCAAGCAAGCAGACAAGATGGCGGATTAGCAAGCAAACAGCCTGGCATAAAGAGCAAGCAAGCAGAAAAGCGCAATCCAAAACAAAAGAAAAAAAGAGATCCACAGATGAAAACACAAAGGGAATGTCAAAGAGAAGCTAAGTCAAAGTCCAAAATCAGAACGAAATAGAGAATGGCAAGTCTCAGGGGACAAAAACTCTAAGACTGAAACCTGGAATGATCCAAAGCCTTATCTTTAATAGCCATTCCCCCATGTGACAGGAGAGGAGATTCATAATGCACAGTTAGAACAGATTTCCTACCAGAACATGTAGTCATAGAAAACTGCTGACTGACAGGGTTTACCAGTTGTGGTAGCATGTTCTCCAGCACTCCAGTTGGAGAGAGTATGACACCCCCACGAGGTACAAAATATGTGGCTAGTAGAAGCTTTCATTTTATATTGCTTGTTGAAAAGTACTGTTGAAAAGTGTGAATAGCAATATTTCACAAGCTAAGAGGCCAGAGTGTCAAATACCTTCACTCCTTTGTCCAGGACATTTTATGTCAGATTGCTGTGGGATTCGCTGCTTCTCTGGGGTATCTTGTGTTTAATATAAAATGAAACATGTCTGCAAAAATATACAGTAAATTATGACTTGCGAAAACAAAGAAGAAACGATTGATTCATACGATCATTTAATTTCAGTAGTGATGTATTGAAACATGGTGTGTTTCATATAAGACATTAAAAGCCCAACAAGGCTGATATAACAACAATGAACATGTAGAAGAATGTGTTTATGAATCACTTTGAATATTGTAATATCATTTTTAAAAACAGATATGTTTGAGTGCCATTTTAATGAGATGTTTCCCTGAAGTCAGTACACAGTTCTATCTACAGTTAGGTTGGAGTTGACCATAAGTGCTGACTCGTCCTAACACCTATTTTATTGCAGTTCCCACATTATTAGAATATTTTGTGTCCTGAACCTTCATTTATTACCTCAGTAATTCTGGCTCCAAATCCTGATCGTTGGGTATCCAGGCGAAAGGCTTTTTTCAGTCGGTTATTCCCATTGAAGTGATTTAAAACAATGTCCACAGCTCTGGGATCCAGCTGGTCAAGACTGAGACTGACACTGACTGTCTCTCCCTCAGCTGGAGCCAGCAGGGCTCCTACAGTGATCAGCAGCACTGATAGCAGGCGGCTCATGTTCCTCTCAGCACTGGTGCAGCAGCAGGACTGAGGACTGAGTACTGTGGCCCCTCAGGTCTCCACAGCCTGCAGAACATTAACTCACCCTCTACACTGACCTCCCTGCCACTGACATCGAGTGCAACTACCAAAGCCAAGAGCTAAAAATAAAAACACCACTATGTTGCTCTAAAGTGCATTTGCATAGCATCAACATAATCACCAATATAATCTTGTACTACAACATCAAGCTGTACATGGTCTGTGAGAAAATGCAATTTACAGATTAAGAATGTTTATGTCCTTAATATTGTCTGGGATGAAATGTTTCTAATCTCTCCCTGGAGTCTTTTTAGAAATACAGAGTCCAACTTTAATTTTACTACCATCATTTTATTTAGGAACTTCGTAAGACTTCATGAACTTTATCTACAAAGGTAAAAATTGAGATGAGTGGAGCTGTTGGTTTTAAATATTTTACACACACAAGGAGAGATCAACAGCTATCATAATCAGACAAAATAAAAAACACCTTGGATGAATTACTGTACATTTTAATAACAGACAGCAGGAAGTTACTCAATTATTGTCCAAATTCCAGAGGAAAACATTTAAGAATAACAGAATGGGTACAAAAGTGAGGAGGCAATTTGTCCCTGTAGCCCATTTGGTAATTAAAAATTAATAGATCCAAGATTCTCATTTAGCTATTTCATAATTGAATGTGGATATCTTATTCCGTACTCCCATAAAACTGTGTGAAAAAAGAATCTAATCTACGTTTAAAAAGCTCTTTTAAAACTTTAATTTACTAATTTACGGTTTAAGTTAAATTAATGGTTTTCCACGTACTGTTTATCAAAACATTTGCAACAGCTCATTATGACTAATAACAGTGAAAGGTGGATGACAATATCAGAATATGCTCAGACACATTCAGAAAAGCAGCACCAAGACAGCAGTGTTGTCATCTTTGGTCTATCTTCTGGCTCTAATTGAGAAGTGATCAGTGGTTTATATAGGCCTATGGCACTGTAAGTGTAGACCTAGAGCTAGAGCACTGTGTAAAGGATTAGGAGAGACAGGAGAATGACACAGATATTGTCCGTCATTATGAAACCAAACCATCACTCTGCCATTTAAGAAATATGCAGTCAATATTACATCCTTTTTTTGGTGAAAATGCATTAAACTGTGTAAGTTACTGTACATTCAATTAAATACTGTACATATTTTCAACCATTATAATTTATTGACTAAGAAATGCAATCACAGGGAAATGTATAAGCCTATTAAAGGCACATAAACAATCATGTGAATCATTAAAAGCATCAGATAACTCTTAATGCAAATGCTCCATATTTGTGTCAGCTGTAATTCAAAATCCCTGCTCATATTGCACTAAAATAATTGCTTATTCAATTTGTCAAGAAACTGAAGTTGGTGGTACTGAATCAGACAGGTACAGTAGCTGACTCTGAGCTTTGTGTAGGTTATCACAACTGATGAGCAATGCTAAGCCATTCCTTGTAAACCAATCCCAGAAAAATACTGAGACCTTATACGAAGTCGTTGACAGGCTTCTTCTATAATTCTTCAACAAATCTTAAAAAGAAAAATGATCCAAACACTAGTACTGTCAACACTACAACTGTTAATAATTATTATTTTTCTAATTAAAATAATAACAACATCTTTTTAAAAAATAAGATAAGATCACTTTATTAACCATATACAATTTCTCGCATTAGGAATTTGTCTTCTTGCATCCTCCAGCGAGCTCTCCATGAGACACACAGGCAGGGAGAGAGAAGTTTGGGGTTGGAGCACAGGGTCAGCCATTTATACGATGCCCCTGGAGCAGATGGGGTTAAGGATCTTGCTCAAGGGCCCAGTAGAGTAGGATTTCTCTGCCAGCTGCAGGATTTGAACCAGTAACCTTCCAGCCACAGGTACAGATCCTTAGCCACAGAGCCACCCACTGTCACGCCCGACATCCCTCCCTAGTGGGTGCTCCACTGCTCCCATTATTGTTCGTGTGATTAAGCTCTCCAGGTGTACCCTTTTAGTGTTATTATTTAAAGACCAGCTCCTCCAGTCCTAGGGGCTCATCATTAGGGTAAGATGTCGCGAGGCCCGCCTAGCACCAGGAAACCCTACGTCCGTCTCCTGAGGGCATAGGCCTCATCCCCGACACCTCCCGCTTCCTGAGCCTGGGGTCTGGAGGATCTCGCCCCGTCACCCTTGGACCTCCATGTTTCGTTTGTCCGTGTGCTCCCCCCTCCCGGGGATTTTAACTTTGTCGCGTCCCAGGATGGATTTCTAGCTGATGGACTCTCGGACTGTGCTTTGACCCGTTTGGATTTGGATTTGGATGCCGTTTTGTCTTCCCCGTACACTGTCTCACGGACTGTCACAATTATTTTGTGCACTATTAAACCCCTGTGTGTTCCTTTTTACCACGCCTCCTGTTTTCTCCAGCTCTTACCGCATTGCATAGGGTCTTCTACAAGATCTGACACAGATTTCAGTCCGTGTTCGTGACACCCACAAACCAATTTCTTGCATTATTAACTCACATTAACTCACCCTCTGTCACTGACCTCCCTGCCACTGACATTGAGTACAACTTACTAAGACACAAACTGGCACAGCTTAAAGATAGAAACACCCCTACGTTGCTAAGTGCATTTACACAACATCGTCATAATCACTGATATAATTTTGTACTACAACATCAAACAGTACACCTTCTGTGAGGAATGCAATTTACAAATTAAGAATGTTAATGTCCTTAATATTGTCTGGGGTGAAATGCAATCCAATCTTTCTTTGCAGTCTTTTGAGAAATACAAAGTCAAACTTCTATTTTACAACAGTCATTTTATTAAGTAACTTTGTAAGACTTCAAAAAACTTTAATTTCCAAGACAAAAATTACGGTGGATAGGGCCTTTGACTCTTATCATTGTACACACACAAGGTCAGTTCAGTACCTGCTGATCTCAGTGCATAATCAGAGAAAATAAAAAGGACATAAGATATTGTTACAAATGGGGGGTTACGAAAACGGTGAATATCAATAATTGACCAAGCAGTTTAGTCAAAAAGGAAAATAAATATTTATAACTTCCATCTTGTAAGTGATTACTCCAGAATATAGCTGAGCAGTGGGAATAATTAGAGAAATTTAATTATTTGTTCTCTGGCACAGCTTTCGTGAAAGAGTAATAATCCAGGCACACTTGATTAAACAAATGTTAAATAAATGACAATACAAACACTATGCTACACAGAATAAAACATGCAAAGCACAAGTTACAATATTTACAGGCATTTCTGAGACCTAATATCCCAATCACCCAGAAACCCCAGACTGCTGCTATGTATTAAAATCTTAAATAATGCCTACAGAGGGAGAAATAAGAGATACGTTGCCTTCTAAATAAATGCAATGCAACCTGCAGTTAAATGTCTCTCTCTGCAAGCTCAGATGCCAGAAAATAAATGGAAGCCTATCTGCCTAGTCTAAAAATGCACCCAAAGCAGGAAAGACGCCTATAACCGATGTATCTTTTAGTCAGGAAACCCAAGTTTCCCCAAAACACAGAATAGCAATCTCTGTCTAGTAAGGTTCAAATACTTAGCTCCAGTCAGGTTTTGTTTGGATGAAGTAGGAGTTCTCACCTGGCGCAAGCTTCAGGTTTCCAACTCCTCCTGCTCCTCTCTCCTCTTTTCCTCTCCTCTTCTTTTTTCTCTCTGTGGTCTTAATGTAATCTTATAAAATATGTTTCTGGACTGTTCACTGACAATCATTTACCCACAACTTAATTAATTAGGTACACCAAGGTAAACTTCAAAATTGGTTTTTAGAAGACCTCCACGTGTCAGCAAACATCACCTCCACTTTGAAGTTGAGAATGTTTACACTTATCTAAACTCATAGAGACACTTCCTAGTCACCTACAGCTATAACACTATATTATAATAGTGTATTATGGTACATTTTAATAATTCATAGCAGGAAAGTTTAGGTGTTACTGTATTATTGAGACAATTAAAGGGGAACTGCACTCCCAGTTTGTCAGACTGGTTATTAAATCTTGTCACAAAATAAATTAATTGATTGTATAGAAACAATTGACAAATTTTGAATAAAGCACAAAATTGTGAACTTTGTAAAAGTACTATAAGTCACTACTGTGGATATAAAAAGTCTATACACTCTTATAGAAATTGCAGGTTTTTGTGATGTAAAGCCAGAAATCAACACCCTGGTTGCATAAGTGTGCATACCCTTTTATAATGGGGGCTGTAACTGTGTTCAGAGTTAACCAATCACATTCAAAATCATGTCCAAAAGTAAGTAGCATACACCTGCCATCAATGACATTGATTCTGATTAACCCCAATTAAAAAATCAACTGTTCATGTAGGATTTCCTTGAAACTTTTGTGGTTGCATCCTACTGGGATAGCCATGGTCCACAAGGAGCTGACAAAAAATCTATGGGATCTTATTGTTGAAAGGTATCAGGAGAGGTGTATAAAAGAATATCAAAAGCGTTGGATGTACCATGGAGCACTATGAAGACTATCATCAATAGGTGGAAAAAATGTGGCACCACAGGGACATTGAGAAGATCAGGATGAACCTCCAAAGTTGATGACAAGACAAGGAGAAAACTTATCAGGGAGGATACCAAGAGGCCTACAGCAACATTAAAGGAGCTGCAGGAATTTCTGGCAGGTACTGGTCACTCCTTGCATGTGACAACAATCTCCCATATTCTGCACATGTCTGTGCTATGGGGCAGGGTGGCAAGATGGAAGCCATTTCTCACAAAAAAGAACATCCAAGCCTGTCTAAATTTTGCAAAAAGAATACATTCAATCACCCTAAAACATGTGGGAAAATGTTTTATGGTCTGATGAGACAAAGGTTGAACGTTTTGGCCTTAATTCTTAAAGATTGCAGAGATGCAGAGATTGCATCTCTGACAAAAATTGCACCTCTGACACAAAATTTCCTTCATCTTAACTGCGACAAGACTGAAGTCATGCTTATTGGCACCCCCCATCAACTTCGTAAAGCCAGTCCTATAACCCTATCTGTAGATGGGTCTGTACTTGAGCTTCAATCTAAATTGGAAAACCTTGGGATTATATTCGATTCTGGCTTAACATTCAACCCACATGTGCAGCATATTGTCAAAACATCTTTTTTTCACCTCAGAAATATCGCTAGACTACGCCCTATGCTATCACTAACTGTGGCTGAAAAGCTGATCAACACATTTGTGTTCTCTCGAATTGACTACTGTAATGCTCTACTCGCTGGGGTATCTAAATCTACTTTGAAAAAACTGCAGTATGTCCAAAATTCAGCAGCCAGAATCCTGACCAGATCTAGTGCAAATGATCACATTACTCCTTGAGTCCTTGCACTGGCTTCTGGTCAAATTCCATGTAGACTTTAAAATACTCATCCTCACCTATAAGGCTTGGCACCTCAGTACCTGTCTGAACTATTATCGCCCTACTCCCCACCTCTCAACCTTCGCTTTTCTAATTCTGGTCTCCTTACTGTCCCCCAAGCCCATTTACATTGTATGGGAGACAGGGCCTTCTCCTGTATGCCCCCAAGCTCTAGAACTCTCTCCCCAAGGATATCAGAGAGTCACCTTCTCTAAACTCCTTCAAATCCAGACTCAAAACCCTCTTCTTCAGAAAAGCCTTTACTGAACAGGTTCCATTCTTCACCCCTCTGCTTTTCTTAGTACTACCATCCACGGTCTCTTCTGTATATCGTAATTGTGTTTTATCTTGTGTATTTTTTTAATTTGTGGTTGTTGTCATTCTATAAAGTGCTTTGAGAAGCCACCTTAAATGGTGCTATATAAAATAAAGTTTATTATTATTATTGTCTGTCAATATGAAACCAAAACTTCACTCTGCCATTTAAGAAATATGAATTATTTGATGCACAGTCAATACTGTAGCTTATTTGTTGAAAATGCATTAAGATGTAAGTTACATTCAATTAAATAGTGTCAGTACATATTTTCACCTTTCAACCGGGAAATGTATAAGACTATGAACAATCTCTGCTCTAGTCTGATGCAAATTCATAATGGCAACATATCATGTGATCAGACATAGACAAATTAATCAAGTCTGATCAAAGACATCATATAACTCTTGTAGGAATGCTCCATATTTGTCAGTTGATAGTACTGAATTAGCAGCTTCTCAGGATGTCAAAGAGATGTAGCTGACTTTGAACTGTGCTTTTCACTGCGTAACCAAGTTAATCTTTTGACGTCAGAGACATAGCAATTCCAGTAAAATACGGAGACCTTATACGAAGTTGTTGACAAGCTTCCTGTACACGAAATCAACGAGCCTATAAAAGCCAAAAAATATGTAGATTATCCATCTACTAATACTGTCAGCACTACAATTCCAAGTAATAATGATAAGGTTAGGTCTTCTTTTCAGGCGATAAAGGCCCATGGGGGGCAAGGGCCACCATTTTTCTCAACCACCCAACACTGGATGTGGAGGTGATGTGGTCAACATCACACTCCAGCTGGCCTATTACCCCCGGAAGGATTAACTGCTGGTACTCATTTGGAAAGGAGGCTGAGTGGACCTGGAAGCCCTTGGGAAGGAATTAGAGGAAGCTACATTGCTTGCCCCTATATGGGATTGAACCTGGGACCTTCCAGTCAGGAGCCAGATGCCCATGCCATCTGAGCTACCACGGCTCCGTTAATTTTAATACTTTTTCTAATTAAAATAAAACACCTTTTTATTTAAAACCATCTTTACTTACATATTACTTTACTTCTATGTGTTTTGACAGGTTTTTATTACACTTGCCAGTGTACATATTTCACCTGATTTCTTACCTTTTGCATGGAGCTTAAACAGGTGCAGTCAATTACTTCAGTGCATCATCGAAGCTGCCGGCATGGAGGACTGTGAAGCATCCCTTACATATCCTCACGTTCTTAAAACATAAACACAAATCAATTAATCTATTAATCATGGCAAACTGCTGCAACAACAATAAATAACCAGGAAATCCTCTGATTGTCCAGTACAGTAAGACTCTGAGACACTGGGTGTTGGAGACTCACTGAGAGCCAAATGTTCATGTGCCTCTGCAATAATAAAGGACAGAGAAGGTCCTGAGGTGGATGTGCTCACATGGGGAGTTAACATACTACAGGAAAAGGAGGTGTGTGTTGCTGTGTGTGTTGAGTTTCAGATTAAAATGACAGGAGACAGATTCTGAATAAATCAAATATACTGTCTACAAATATGACAGTATATATGACATTTCAGAAATGATGTTGAACATGATGTCTTTTTCTAAGTAGATGACACTAGATCTGTTTAGCTGTTCTCTTAATTCCTGCTTCATGCAAACCAGTCAGAAGTGAGATCTCCACACAGTTTCATTAAAGCCATAATAATAATTAATTATTCCTCACATTTATATGGAGCTTTTCTGGACATGCCACTCAAGTGTTCAATAGGTAATGGGGATTCCTTTCCACAATCAACACCAAAGTGGAGCACCAACCTGTATGTTGCAATAGCAGCAAAATTGCAAACAGTAAACTCACCACACAACAGCTGTCAGTGGGGAGAAGAACAAAGTAAAGAACCCAATTTTATAGAAGGTGATTATTAGGAGGCCATGACTGGTAAAGACCAGGAGAAAGTTTGGTCAGGCCACAGGGGTAACACTGTTTTCGAGAAATGCCCTAGGATTTTTAATGACCACAGAGAGTCAGGACCTTGGTTTTACATTTAATCCAAAGTACAGAACCATTTCTATAGTATAGTGTCCTTGTGTCACTATACTGGGGCATTGGAATCCACACAGACAACTCATTACTGGTCTCACTAACACCACTTCCAGCAGTACCCCTAGCTTTCCCAGGAGGTCTTCAATCCAGTAGGGATTTATATTTCTTCCAACACTGGAGTGTTTTGCTTATAAAGTGTTTTTTCATCATCTGGTAATATAATCATTGCTCCATCTCCAAAGTGTAACCTGTTCTGCAGTGTATTATGCATAATATTAGCACCGTTACTTCTTTGCTATATCTGTCTTTGTTGTCAACATTGTCAACCATTGAAACTAAATAACAAAGTGCTTCAATAATGCTTCTAATGTAAAATGTTCATTTAATGTTCCTAAATACTATGAATAACATAACAAGCCCTTCTCTTGATTTCAACTGGCTTTCTGCATAGACCGAATGCATGCTAAATTGTGTTAATAGAATCAACTTCCTAGCTTTTCTTCTCTTCAACATTCTCTCCACCATTTTGCTATGCACCTACTTTACACTACCAAATAATACAGTCTTCTGCTGAACCACCTTAGATACCAAACATTATTTCTGTCCGTTCTCTGGCTTGCTCACTAGTATCTTTATTATTTGTTACTCCTTTTCTCACAGCTCCCAGCACAGGAATCTTTGCGATTTCTTTTTTTTCATGGGCTCATTCTTCACTCCCAATTTCTTCTCCATTCCTGTCCTCTTTCAACACATCATCTTTGCAGGAAGGCATCAAATGTGTAACAGTTCAACTACATTGAATGAAGAAGGAAGCACTTGATTTACTGTATGGTTCAAGGCAGTCAGCTCGTGAGTGACTAATCTCTGAATTTCTCTCTGAGTGGGAGGCCAAATTTTCTGGTTCATAAAAACCTACATCATCACTGCTTTCAATAAACACATACTAATTAGCAATCCATCTATACCCTTCTTTCCCCCTGTTGTAGAGAATACCATGTGGCCTGTGGAACACTTAGATTATCTCAAATAACTCTTTCAATGTCTTTGGTAGCATTTTGCAAACGTCCATGTCATCATTATTGCCCTAATTGAGGTTCCACTCAGTGCTAAAATCAGTTCCTATCCGCATTATTAGTAGGGGTGTAACCCCGGCATCCTGGCCCAATTTCCCATTGGCCTTTACCAGTCATGGCTTCCTAATAATCCCCATCTATGAATTGGTTTCATTACTCTGCTCTCTTCCCCACCCCACTGAAAGCTGATGTGTGGTGAGCGTTCTGGCGCACTATGGCTGCCGTCGCATCATCCAGGTGGATGTTGCACACTGGTGGTGGTGGAGAGGAGTCCCCATTACCTGTAAAGTGCTTTGAGTGGAGTGTCCAGAAAAGCGCTATATAAGTGTAAGCAATTATTATTATTATTATTATTATTATTATTAATAATAATAATAATAATAATAATAATAATAAAGAGCTCTCTAAATATACATGTTGTGGTTGACTGACAACAGAGACTTCACCTAGGTACCTTTTGCAAACAATTCCCGATTTGTGCTGCTCATATTCCAGTGTAGTGTAGGGGCAAAGCCTACTTTTTCCACTTAAAATTGAATGTTATTGGAGATTTCTAGTGATCTTTCTTAACTGGACCAAACAGTCTGTTGCCTGTCCCAGAATGTAGCTAAATAGCATCCTCTCTGTGATCTCAGCCACAGGAAGACCTAGTGGTTTTTATGTGTGAGCAAATGAGGGAGATTAGCTTATTTTTGGATAAGGATCTTTTCCAGGACAGTCCAGATCCAGTGCCAATACTCCTTTAAGATTGATCTCCACTGCTGGCACCTGGACGTCTGGCAGATGGACATACTGTAGGCACGTCTGGAAACAACCTTAAAAGTCACAGGGCATAGTCAATCATCCAACAAGATGACCAACCAGTCAGGGACCTGCAGGATGTGGGAACCCTAATGACCTCTTGACCAATCACCAACCATATTTTCCACCTGGTGACTTCTTGACCAATCACCAACCATATTTTCCACAGATAAAAAAGCAGAGTGAATCACCTCTAACTTTGCCATTTCTCCACAAAACCAACTTGACTGACTGACAACAGAGCTACATATCTGCCACAATTGTTGTCAAAACATTGAGACTTAAACTTTTTCCCACAGCATCAAGTTAGAGAGTGAGCCTATACTGTACATAAACGCAGAAAACTATCCAAGATCAAGCCTGCAACAGGACCTTGCGACCAGCTAGCTACCACCATGCACCTGCTTGATCACCAGAAGCAATACAGTTGAACTTTTGTCTACATGTCTGAATACAGTATTATTTAGCAGTAGTCGCTACACTAGGAGCAAACTGAGTTTCTCCCCTTTTTGTGTGACTCGCCCCAACTGAGCAGTCACCACCTTGTGCACAGATTTGGTCAGCGTTCAGCTCAACACTAACCCTGACAGCTTTCTTGAGAGCAGACTATCAGCATGAGGCTACAACAGCACCTCTCTCTCCCCGATTCTTTAAGCCAGCAGAGCACGGATTGGACAGAGCTGCGATGGACCCAGTGAGATGTTCCCCCATCCTTCTGTGCAGGAGTTACCAATCCATGGTTGTGAACGAGCATAATTCAATATTCAACATTACTGCCCTTGAGAATTCAGTTGTTTTAATACATGTTGATATCAATTAAATTTATTTTAATTGCACTAGTTACTTATGAAAGTAACTGAACCTGAAAATAATTATGTTAAGTAGAGTGATAAGCATATTTGAGTAACTGATGTTATACTAAACACATCCTTGTTTTATGTATCACTTTTTTATACTTACTATAGCCTGATAATTCTCATGTGATGAGCTGCTGTCTCTATCCAGGCAGACTCTACTATATACCCTGAATACATCTATGTACACAAAATGTATTCCATGTTTTGTGAATCTTTGTGAAGACTCCATGTTGTTTTGCCAATTGATTCCTAATAGCCAAAGCAAACTCATGGAGTTTACGGTTACAACTAAACATTATACTAGTAAATTCACAAAACCCCTACAGTGGTATCACATGGGGCTTTTTTGTTGGTGAGGCGGAGCTTTTTATAGAGAGACATTGCAGCGGCAACCACAGCTGAGGGAACTTAGTGCTAATGAGCCTCAGCTGTGGGAGCACTTTAAGAGCACTCTGACCATCCTTCCTATAGAGGAGGTTCAGCCAAGATCTTAGTCTTGAGAGAGCTGCAGTTGAGAGATGTTAGATCAGGTCTCCCATATTTGGAGGCTCAGCAGTGAGAGAGTGGGTCCGAAACAAGAGAGCAGTGTGTGTGAGACTTTGCTTTTGAGAGCAGTTAAGGAGAATTAATAATTGTCCCAGTAAATGCCCAAACCCTACAGAACTGGTGCCTCGTGAGAGCACACTACACCAGAAAAGCGCTATATAAGTGTAAGCAATTAATAATGAAACTATAATCTAATGTCCAGGAACAATTCAACACATTAATTAAAAATTTGGGGTGCTCAATTAAGTAATTTAAACATCAATTGGAACTAAAATCACAGCATTCTCCAGCCCTAAAGGACTAGTGTTCCTTACATTGTAACATTACTTAATAGAGCGATAGCTTAAAGAATTTGTACCTGATCTTATAACAGGTAGGACTGGGGTTTTGCTTGAGTGCTTACTTTTGCTCCACTGTGAAACAACTGTTTTTAGGGGCATTCACAATGCCTAATGCATTTCGTGTTCATGATGTTTGTCCTGAGCCCTAGTGCCTAGTGCCCTAATGCCTAATGGCTTTTACAAGCAAAATGCTTTTAGATGTGTCCTGAAGATGTCCACAGCTCTGGGATCCAGCTGGTCAAGACTGTGACTGACAATGACTGTCTCTCCCTCAGCTGGAGCCAGCAGGGCTCCTACAGTGATCAGCAGAACTGACAGCAGGCGGCTCATGTTCTTCTCAGCATTGGTGCACCAGCAGGACTGAGGACTGAGTATTGTGGCCCAAAGTCTGCAGAACATTGAGGGCAATTTACCAAGACAAGAACTGGCACAGCTAAAAGACAGAAACACTGCTATACTGTTCTAATGTGCATTTACACAACATAGTCATAATCATCGAGATTATCTAATACTATTGTACAACATCAAGCACCGCATCTTTTATGAAGAATGCAATTTACAGATTAAGAATGCG